GAAGTATTTCCAGAGAGGAGAGTAAGATCCGATCAGCCGAAAGAAAACAAGTTAAGAAAAAAGAAAAAGGAGTATATATGCAGTATATACTATAAAAGTTATAAAAGAACAGAAAATGGTGACGATGAGAGGAGAAGAGGCTCGGGAAGCGAGGGGCAAAAAAAAAGCGAGTAAAAGAAGAACAGGAACTCAACAGGAACTCAAAGGCCTTTCCGGGGCTACCGATGCGAATCATTAAGTGTTTCACCAGATATCCGCGTGTCTCCATTTTATTCAAAAGGCACCAGGCACCTCCATGATTCATTAGTGACTTGACATGAACTTAAGACTTGGACTTGAGTGACTTGAAGTCTAGACCTCTTCTCTATATACATATGTATAGATATATGTAGCAATGTAGCAATGTAGCAATTGTATATGAAGAAAAAAGAAGTAGGTTAAACCCTCGAAACTGGTTGACGTTAACACATCTCAGACCCTGGAAATAGGCACTGCCAAGCCTCGATAAGTTTGGTTCTTGGAGAGAAAAAAAAAGGTCGAGACTCTTTGGAGACTCTTATGGTGGGGGGGGATCCTTAGGGTTAACGATATACTCAACCACCTGGACATCCCCTTGCATTGCGATGTATCGCACCTCGTCATACTCGTTGGTTACGCGGTAGGGGAAAGAGTTCCGAATGGTCCGCCCCGATACGAAGTCTTCATAGCGAATTCTCCTTTGCTCGAGCCCTCTGATCTCACAATTGGTCCGAGCCCGTGATAATTTTAGACTGCATAGACTGCGGGGATGATAAGAGATCTCATTCCCCTACGGAGTACATTCTACAATATACGTTCTATGCATTCCAGAACATACCTCTTTTACTATGTATAAATTACTTACTAAAATAAAATAATATAAAAGAACTCGTCACTTACAACCTTGGAAGATCCGGTAGCTCCGTCGAAACCGCATTCAGGCAACTCCTCATCTGAAACTTTCACCCCCTGGGACTAAGCCCGTTGGCCCATCGTGCCTGCGTCGCTGCTAAACTTTCCCCCCCACTTCCCTCGAGAACTGCAAACGGCAATTCCCATGGAATCCATTGCTGTACAACATCCTCAGACCCCTGGTTCCCATATACTTTAATGTATAGTCTACCTAGGTATTCACTTCACTTGGGCCTCTGGGTCGAATACCTCATCAGAAACAGAGATGTGACGCCACGGCCGATGTGGATGATGTGCTTATCCCCTTGGGCTTAACCGGTTTGACCTATATTGGAATCAAAAATTCAGACGTACGGTGTACCGTATTGGCCCCAGATCGGCCCCATGGGAGTTCGGTTATGATCCAGCGAACACGATTGGCGTGGAGAAAGGAGGCGATATTCAATATTCTTCCCTGGAGACATGGTTCCCCTCCTCGCGAAAGTGCGGCATATTAATCTACATTACGTATATATAGTTTGCGAGATATGATTCGGGGATGGGAAGAGGTGCTATAGCTGAAATTGGTGAAGATGGGGCTCCTGCCACTAGACAAAATGATCGACAGTTAAGTTGACGCCGCCCACGGGAGAAGTCCCAGTACGGAGAAATACAATATGTAACTCATGTATATCCATATACACCGTGGGGGCCGAAGAAAAGGCATAGATAGATCGTCGCTCTAAGACCCTACAACTAGAAGAGGGGAAAAACCAAGACGGGTACCTGTAGGTACATCTGCAGGGCTGACAGAAAGGCGCACGGCCAAGTATAGCCAGGTACCAAACTGCAGGGCTTATCGATAAACCTGAATTGTAGCCCTGCCCAGGAAGGATCCGTGGATATGACGTCTTTGACTTGGGACAACTCTAGGGCGGCTAAAACTTCCACCTTCCAAGCCTTCCATCGTTGATATTATTTTTTTCTTTGTGTGGTAATACTCCGCCTCCCTTTTTTCTCCCCCTCTGGAGAGGCGATCCGTTTGCCTTTCTAGCGGTCTGCTTATCTGACTGGTCATTGACCCTTTACCAGTCCAATCATAGGCCACACTCTGCATCTCATACCAGGTCCATCCATGTAAATTGTACCTGATTATGTGTCGTGCGTACCTGGGCCACGTAGGAGCCGCCTTATAATACCAATATTGAATTTTAAATAATATTATATTAATAGATTTCTGTTTGGTTATATTATATAGTAGTATCTACTCCGGAGTGAGAAAAGATAGTATGTGCACAACATCAAAAGCATCAATAAGCCCTATCGGCCATAGACATCAACCCAACCCATCCCACACACTTTGTACATACAACAAGTACTAGCAGGAGGCTGAGAGTCCAAATTCACATGTGAATTCCAGACTGGACGAAATGGACAAAGCGCACAATCTCTGTATCCATACCGATGCCATTCCCCCAATCTAATTGGGCCCCAACCCCCCTCCTCAGCAACTGACATGCGTCTGTTCCCCCTCTGCATCCACGAATTGAGTCAACATGCAGTGTGCACGCCAACTCCCAACCACTTTCAGAACTGCCTAGAGATCCCCACCACTGTGGTGCACCTTGTGGGAGTCATCTGACTCTGGAACATCCACCGCGTTCAGGTACTTGTACAACGTACTTGCAGATGTAGATCTATCCGATCTATCCGCTTATCTGCGGCACATCCCAGTGTGTATAGATATGCATTTATGTATAAGGATTATTTTCCGATGCTCGGAGGTTTTTGTTTTAGACTCTGTGCGAGCTGACGGATTGGATCCCGATAACCTGGTGTTAAGTTGATCGTTCCAGGGTACCTACTGGTTTCTTTGTCCCTAGTCAGGTACGCTAGTTGTTTGCACCTTGGCTTTGGGTGCGGCTGGTTGCTGGTACCTGGAACTTGTGTGCCTGGGTGCTGGGTGTTTGTTGCTTCCAAGGGTCTGGCGCCCATGGTACAACAAGGTTCAGATATTTAGAGTAGTGGTAGACTTTAACAGCTGGGAGGATAGGTAAGGATGGTTATAGTTGAAGTAGCTGGAATTATTCCAGGGTTGAGTACATAAGGATGTTCAGTGTGGACAACAGATCCAATGTTTAGAGTGTCTCGTTTGTAGGAATGCTCACGGATTCCGTTTGTAGCAACTATAGTCGGTGAAAAAAGCAAAGGTCTGAGATTATGATGTGGACTCTTTATTTGCATAGAGTAGGAGAGTCTATTAGCTCATTTCCCGAGACAGATTAGTCGTCCACATTCAAATCCTGGGCTCAAATAAGCATATATCCATGTGTATATAATGACAGGGAAGCTCCTGCCTTCTTCTCTTCTGCTCTCCAGCTCCAACTCACTTTCTTCCTCTTTCCTCTTTCCCGACCTCTCTATTCCCTCTCATCCTCCTCCCCCTTCCTATCCTTCTCCTCATCACACTCCATGTCTTCATTCCCCCTCCTCTCCCCACAGGTTGTCACGTCATGTGCCCCTGGGAACCAAAACACCAAAACACCCCTCTGAGGCAGTGAGCAACTACTGTGCTGAACACCTTATCTATGAAATTTGCAAGGCAAGTATCAATACGAAAGCTAATATCCCGAAGCCAAAATCGAATCAAAGTCGAATGTTTTGCATTCGGACTTGAGTTACGAAGGGTCCTTCTATCTTAGCTACCTCAACCATGAGCCACACTGGTTCCTCGCCTCCTCTTGTCTCGTACTACGTTTCTTCTCTTCATGCTCTTCTGTCCAGGCATCTGACAAATTTTGAGCCACTATGAAAACCGGAATAAGAACTCGCCTTTCAGCGACTCCGGTAGCTTGATATCGATCTGCTGTGCTTATAAACAATGATCATAGTCACCATGTCATTCATCGACGACCTTCCCCATCATGACCAACGACAGTAAGGCGACTCCTCAGGCAACGCCCACTGATATCATGTACACCATATTTGACCCGTGAGTCTGTGGCATCAGTCGTTCTCTCGTTGTTTATCCCAGCTGGCGACAGAGTTATGGCAAGAAGATCCATCTACCGGCCGTACGGTGTTTGGCTACAACATTGACCTGAATAAGACTGTTTCTGGTGAGTCCGTTCGATGAAGCACGACAAGGTGGATTCTCGGATGCCACGACCACAATCAGAGTAAGTTTTCATGGGCGTCACTTTGGAGGACCTTCCTGACGTATAATTTTACAGATTACCGCTCTGAATGCATTGTCTTGCATGATTTGGATCGACCATCGAAACCGCTAGGTGGTCTATGTCACTCGAATCTGTGACTTGCGACTCACAAGACGGGCTACTGCTTTTCATGCCTTGGACTGTTGCATGGAGGCTCATTGCTGGGCTTATCTATTCTGCTGCTCAACGAACGGATGGACCCCCCAAAGCCGTGAAGTGCTTCCAATCCGAATTTACAATGCCCTTATTTAACCTTGAAAGCAACAGAAGAGAGGTAGAAGATCTACAAGCTATACGAAAATTCGTTTCTTCCCTCTTCCAATCAAAGGTCACGAGGACTGCATCAGCTCTGTGTGTGACGGCTCAAAATTCTGCCATAAACACTTTCTTTAAGTAGACGCCAGACCTCCTTGGTTTCCAGATCGATGTTCACCATATCGGAAGCTGGGATATTGTCCGCGCCATTGGGTTTCTATTATCCTGATGATTCTGGCCAATATCGAGAAAGCGGTTTCTTAGTAGTGGCGCCCCGCGCAAAGGCCAGAGTCATCATGATGATGGAATCCGACGGCAAGACTAGTATCCCGACTTCCAGTATGGTGAATGTCGACCTGAAACCAAGGAAGTCTGGCGTCTAGGTCAGAAAGGGTTTGTGGCAGAATCTTGAGCCCTCCCACACAGAGTTGATGCAGCTCTCATGGCTGCACGTTTTCTGACCAGTATCTGCTTCAAGGGTCGACCCTTCGATTGGAGGAGACGAACTTCCTCTAACTTGTAGATCTTCTTCCTCCGCTGCTTTCAAGGGGCGAGAGTGCTCGGTTGCTTTTGCTATACATAGTGAGGGAATTGTCGCGCCTCTCTGCAGTGGCAACTTTACGGCAAAAGATCGGTCGAGACAGGGTGCGACCCAAAGCCGATACGGGAGCGGAGGTTCTCTAGCTGATGCCAAACCTTGCTCGTTATGCTAATGAAAGTATGGTCCTTTGCTTTCTCTTCCTCGTTGTATGGAGGGTTAGCAGCCCAATAGAAGCTTTCTGTCGCTGATTAGCATCATGGCCTGCAGTATTACCCACCTCCCCATGACTTGTTATCCTCAAGCGTGCATCCTGTCTTGATCATTTCTTCTTCTCCGTCTTTGTGGCAAGTTGCCGGCGCAGAGGGGCGCGATGAAGAAGGCGATGATTCCCCCACGATATACTAGGGCAAAAGAAGTCCTCCCATCTGCTGCGTTGGGCCAAAGTGGTCCATTGGCTTTTGCAACCCTGTTATAAATACCGAGAAGTCGTCGGACTGTGAATTACATTTCCAACCTCGATGGTGCACACTGTGTCATGGGTGCTGCCGCAAAGTTCTTCCTGCTGGAAACTCGTTGGAAAAGAAGAGAGTCTGTCAGTATCCCTCAGAAGGAGAGGCGTGTGCCTGAACCAACCATTGAAAACTGCCAGGCCATCTCTATCGTTTCAACCTCAATTCTCACTCATCCATACGAGCCTTATATCTTCATTTCATCCCTCCCCTCCGCTTTTACGGTGATCCAACTTTCATCTTCTCCTTGACAATCATCTTCGCCATCATGCCGAAGCCATTGTCAACTTGCCCTTCAAAACATCTTCATGGCTTCTGCGATCATGAAGAGGAAATTCCATACAATCTAGAGCATGCTGAGATTATGAGCAAACGGGCTCAATGCATTCTGAGTGCAAAGTCCAAGCACTCCAACTTGCCGTAATACGACAAAATGTCGTTCTCCGATCCCATTCACTCACCTGACTGACCAAGCTGCAAATGAAATTGGCATATTCAGGGTTTAGAACTGATGTTGAGCCTTTCCGGCACCACAGTGAAGATTTGTCAACAGACAAAGTACCTAGGTAGGAAGTTCCAGCCTTCTGTTGACAAATCTTCACTATGACGCCGTAAAGGCCCAACATCTGTCCTCAATCCGGAATACGCCAATTTCCGCCAATTTCATTTGCTTGGTCAGTTAGACGAGTCGGAGAACGACATTTTATACTCATACAGCGCTCTCTATGTCCCTTAAGCTGGGGCTGTGTTGGCCTCAACATGCATGATCTGGTTTGAGAGCCATTCGTGGATTTCAGAAAGTCCGCTGACATCCAAATGCATTTCGAACACGATGATTTGGAACTGCGTTGTCTGAGTACCAACTTGAGCGACGGAATTCGCAAGGGTCAACTCCACATGTCTGCCAGCACTGTTCGAAGATCCGAATGTGGTGGGAGCGATGGGTGTGGCGGCCATGGTGGCCAGAGTGGCCCGCTGAGTTGTCGATGAAGTCGATGAACTTTGTGAAATGAGAATCGATGATGATGGGACTCCTATGTGATCTGGTTCCACGACTGCGATGAAGTGTCCGGAGTCTCAGGTCGATCAATATGGCGCTAAACCGAGGAAAGCGCCATTTCCACAGGGTGCCCTTCAGTTTGACAGCATAGAGACAGACTGAGCGATTCTTCGGCCTAGAGAAGCTTGCAAATCAGGTCCGAATCTGGAATTCAGCATCTGAATTGACTCGAAAACAATATCTGTCATCGCGAGTAATTACTGCGACAAAAAGCGACGTGAACCGGGCAGATATTGATACTCTAGGTCGGGGGACGGTTTACACCGATCCACACCAGTGGCTAGCCCGAGTGGTGTTTCAGCTGCATTTACTGCTTGGAGTGTTTGCGCCATTTGGCATTCGGTGCTCCTGGGTCGCGGTTAGCTAGTGATAGCTGTGCCGTGCCTGAGGGCATTCGCCAGCCAAATGAATCCGACATCGCGGAGACCACCGATTCACTGCTGTCGCCATACGGAGTGCCCCAAAACGGCAGCTTCTGAACGTCATTGTGCCGATTCCACAATGACGTTGACGCCAGCGCCCTTCACCATCAATGTTCGTGAAGGGAAGGAAAGAGTAGCAAAGGCTGAACCCTACTACTCCCTCGCGCTTCGTCACACACAAAGCTGACGCAATCAGTTCACGCGAGATTTCGGTAAAAATCGTCGTCAGGATACCCCGAACTTTCTTTGTGGTCGACGAGATTAGAATCGGCAACACTACAGGGCCGAAGAAGAGGAGTATCCATGGGAATCCCCCCGGGCGGAATTCCCACCAGTCCATACTTCCATGTTGAAAGCCGGAGACAAGTCGGATTCCTCAAACCCTCTTTTCAGTTTCAAAAAGGGGAGGCAGAAACTTCTTGGAAGTCAGTTGTCGTGACAGACTCAATACGCCACAACCAAAGTCTCCGGTCTGACTATTGCCTCATGTTTCGTTTACACGGGCTATATGATCATCAAACCTGAGATGCATGCATGATTTGTGTGGCTCTATTTCGACAAGTCAGTTAATTGCTGGGCGTACGGCATTCCGTGGGTTGCGTTTTTCCTTCCGCACCACCACGTTTCCTGTAGCCAACGGCTCCATGGCGTGGGGCCCAAGAAGACCACAACTGGAAGCCCGCGAAGACCAACCGTGGTATTTGAAATAGCAATCACTGAGACGCACGCCAAGTTGCTTCGTGATGCTGGCCGGTGGCTCGACCCAGTCGATGGTCTCGCGATGGTCGTACTAGCCATAAAAGCAGACCGACGGCAGCCCAGGATTACCATCCAAAGAATGGCAGTATGATAGTGCCAAGACAGAGATCGAAAATGTCCAAACCATCGAGATCATCGAAAGCAGTGAAGGTGACAAAGTCACAGTGACCATTGGCCCACTCCTCATTCCCTTCCAGGCTTTTTTCCTCAGAAGGCCACATGCTTGAGGGGAGTGACAAAAGGAGACAACTGTGCAGCAGAGGGACAAGCTTAAAAGTGGTAAGGGGGCAATTTAGAACGAGTGCATTAAATACTTGCTTCTTCTCGGACCCCTCCATCCTCCGGTTCTTCCTATATGCAATTCCTCGGCGGACTTCCACTTCGGAGTATGAGCAGTGGATCCTGGAATAAGTATTTGATTACACCGAGGAGCAGCAGGAAACGTCCTGACCTGGGACGAGTATTCACCGATTTCCCTGCTGGATTTGGCGCCGCAACCGCAAATCAGGGACGCCATATGCATTACAGCATGCTATGTGGTAAGATTCATCCATATATATGGAGACATGCAAGCATGGAAATCCGAATGGAAGCATGCACGTCTGGGAAAATTTGGAAGGCGACAAACTTGCACACACTCGGGAGGAAACGCCCGTACGGCGAACACGAAGAGCATACAAAAAGAGGAAGAATAAGCGTTCACATGGTACCGATCTAGGAACTTGTTTCGACCGAGTCATTTGGTGATGAGACGCAGCGTGTCGAGACTATCTCCCTCTGTTTGGTCCCTCGGCCGATCAATATTCAGTTGTCCTGTCGACCTGCTTATTGCGTGTGTCAACGCTTCTTTGCAGGCTGTAATTCCCACAAACTTCATCATGGCAGGCGCTCCTGTAAATATCAAGGCCACGGAAGAGTCATACAGGAGGTAGACATTCTGCTCCATAGCGCCCAATGATTTCTCTCTAATTACTCATTACAACTTGCTATCATGTCTTGTCATCTCCCACAGTAGCATTTTTAACATCAGGTATAGCCCGTAGCCCGTACAAATATAGGAAACTCCCGCGATCCGAGTATAAAACACGTGTTATGCAACATTTGCTCGCGGTGAGAACGCCCTGGACCCCCAAGTTATCTTTATGCAGAAAGATGCCTTCTGCCCCTCTTACCAGGTTCGAGGGAATCTTCCCGACACTGGCGGATGATAAAAAGGGCAATGCATTGAGCAGTACGGGCTCTCAATAATTTGGCAATTGTTCGAGAAGATACATATATTTGTCATTAGAGCTGTAGTCAATCCTTGCGGTTGACATGATCCATCTCGCACCGAACTCTAATCTCCCTTGTGAAGATTCGGTAACATGTACACAATGCTTGCAACAACCACATGCATCACCGCCCCAGAGGACCAACAACCGAGCCCACCATCACGGCAGCTTCTCGCTCCCAGTTTCCAACCACTACCGTGTCGGTTCCTGGTCGACCCTTTTCAGCCAGCAGGCTGGTAGCAGACACCTGAGACGCACGGAGCACACACTCCTTAATTTCGACTCTTAGTCGATCACGGTTGGATCGCAATGTGCGGGCAGAGACACCGCCTCTGTTGACGATTTCCTGGACACGCGGAGCAAGAGACGAGGCGAGGGAGCGCCAGTAGTAGGAAGGAAGTGATGAAGTGTCTAGAGCTTGGAGAAGAGGCTGTAGGAGATTAGATTTGTTTGAGGCTGTTGTTTCGGGTTCGGTGCCGCGTTCTTCGGTTGTGGTAGTGGAGGCCAAGAGAGGGTGTGGTGGTGGGCGGAGGTTTCTGAGAATGTTCTCCAAGGCGACTATATCTTGGCATCGCGCAGAGGTGTCGACGAGAGCTCGGTCCATGGTTGGGAGTTGGGTAAGAGCCCGGGCGAGGGAATTTACGGATGTCATGATCGCGGTGTGCATGAACCCTTGCAATGTTGATAATAAGAGCTCGGGCTTGTAGTCGGCTGCAGTGATGGTGCCCTTTGGCGGGGGCGAAAGAAGATATAGAGTTGTGGCGGCGGTTGACAGTCGTGCTCGGGCATCGCGGGCTTGTTTATAGCCAGATGGCATGGTTGACTGGCCATTGGTGCCTGCCGAGTTCGAGGACAAAGAGAATCTGTTTATGGTCTGCTGCGCTCTCGACTTGATCATATTCTCTGCGGGGATGACGAATTCTCCGCGTAGAGTGCGAATAGCCTTCACTCGATCCAAACCATAGCCTTCCTCGCCCTGTGTCGTGGCCGAGAACATTTCTCGCAGATTCAAAATCGTGTGCGCTGCACGTTCCAATGCGCGGAAGCCATCTTTTCCAGCTGATAGTGATGCTGCTCCATCCGGTCCTGCTGAGGGTGTCGGCCCTGTTGCACCTCGGCCTGTAATTTCAGAAACCTGGCTCTCCAACTGCCTGCCCAGGGTTAAGCAGCGCGCGACAGCTCTTGCTAGGCGGACAGTCGCAAGTGAGTTTTCAGCAGCAACACGGGCTTCGTCGGCTGCTTCCCATTTTTGTATAACCTCCTTTTGGAGACGCTCGTACCCTTGAGTCACAGAAGCAACCTGTGTCCCTGATTCTTTCAAGATATTATCAGCGGCGGCAGTTTGGCTTTGGGTGTGTGAAAGCAATGGGAGTGCTGATTTGGTTGTCAATGTATGGATGTGTGTGTCGATCTCCTGGAGATCAAAGAGCACCCGTGACAATGGTGTGGACAAGTCCAGCGGGGTATCTGTTGCATTGTTTGTGCTTGTCACCAATGTATTGGCGAATGAAGCTGGGGAGAAGTCTGGATCTAGGAAGGCCTCATAGTCTATGTATGACGGATCTCCTTCCGCCATGATGGATCTAGACGTGTCCAATGTCTATCTCAATGGGGCTGCATAGAAGAAAAAGAGCAATGGAGTAACTAGAGAACACCTTTCGAGCCAGCCAATCAGGGGCAAGTGGAGTGCAGAAATGATATGTCTTCAATGCAGCTCTCAATGTTTTGACATTGACTTGGTCATTGGAGGAGACCCGCGGGAGAGGGATATTGGCCTTGGAGATAGGAAACCCACATGGCCGATAAGGAGTCACGTGCTATTCTTAGTCAGCTTATACATTCCCAGCAGATGCAGATGATGAGGCCATTAATGACTATGAATGATACTATAAAACATAAATAAGAGTGATCAAGGACACTTAATGTATCCAGCTTATCCAGGTCATAATACAGTACATATAATGTGGTTATGCAGGCAATCTAGATTTGGAGGCAGAGAAGCAATATTGAAAGCCTCGACCAATCGTATAATCTTACATTATCACAATGGCATGAGATACCTCTAGAGCCAATAGATATTCGATTTCAAATCCAATTGCATTCAAATGCATTGGCGTTCTCTGCACATTGCCAGCGCCTTCCAACGACAGAGCGGGGTCTCCATAGATAAGAAGTTCGGAGACAACCCCGAGTACCGGACATGAACATCAACTCTCGACATTTAAAGGCACAATTCCTGGGATAGTACTTTAAACCACAAATTCTCCGCCATGTCATCTACAACAGTAACGCAGCAAGAGCAGTCCGTTCGCCTGACCAACGAAGACCAACTGCCGCCACTACCACCAGCGGCAAATGATGCATCCTTCCAGGGTCTGGCTCGCGGAGGCCGAAATGGCACCCTGAGACTCCGCGGTATTCCCACATTTTCAGATCTAACTGAGAAACGCAAGTGGATGAAGGAGCACATGGCTGCTGCATTCCGGTACTTTGGCAAGCTAGGGTATGGGGAGGGTGTCTCCGGGCACATTTCGATGCGAGGTAGGTGTGAAGCTTTCTTGGAAATGGAAGGTATTATGGGCGATTAGGAGTATTCTGACGGCGCGTAGACCCAATCCTCAAAGACCATTTCTGGATGAACCCGTTCGCCAAGCACTTCTCGACTATCAAGGCTTCAGATCTCGTTCTTCTAGATGCTGATGGATATGTTGTCGACGGTGGAGCTCAGCTACCTGTTAATGAAGCTGGATTCCTGATTCATTCAGAGATTCACAAGGCACGTCCAGATGTCGTGGCTGCGGCGCACACGCATGGTATCCATGGAAAGACGTGGAGTTCATTTGGAAAGCCTATCGAGATGCTTACACAAGGTTAGTGGCTTTTCCTTTTCTCTTGAGATCATATTGAGGGTTTGAACCTGCGCTAACGGGCTGGAAAAAGACGCATGCAACTTCTTTGGTAGACTTGGTGTTTACGAAGACCATGGCGGTATTGTTCTGTCAGCAGAGGAAGGAAAGGCCATTGCAAAGGCATTGGGCAAGGAAAACATTGCATGCATCTTACAAAACCACGGGTGAGTCGATTTTCGCCGTTGCGTTGTCTGTACGCGTCTAGTTCTCTCTGGCTAATTCGAGTTTACTCATGTACAGCCTCCTAACTGTCGGTCGGACCGTTGATGAAGCAGCCATCCTCTACTCCATGCTGGAGAATGCTTGCCGGTCACAGCTTCTTGCTGAAGCAGCAGCAGCCAATGGTCTTCCAAAGAAGATCATCAAGGATGATGCGGCTAAGTTTACCGCCGATGCTGCCCAGAATCCTGTAAGTGGAATGGACACGTTTGCCCAAGTGCTGGAGAACATGTACTGACATTTTCTAGCACAACTTCTACACTGAGTTCCAGCCTGAATTTGATTTGCTTGTCGAGGAGACAAACGGAAGATTTCTCCAGTAAGGTGTGAACAATATATATGACAATTTCTGGTTCGGTTCAAAGCTCTTCTAGATACGTAGCCTATGTATTCTCTAAGGTTTAAGACAATGAATACACAAGCTGAACGATAATACCAGAATCACTTCTTACTTTGCAAAGCTGTCGCGAAGGAGACGAGTTCAAAGGGCCAGTATACCTCGGAAGTCGAAAGAGCAAATCATCAATCACAATATTTGTCCATGAGAGCCTCGAATGAAGAGAGCTGAGGGGATGTATTAACTCCAGACACTCCTCAGTCAATGAATAAATAATTCCTTCATAATAGCGCAAGCTTTCCCTCGACTGCATTCGACATTCATGGGGTCGGATACTAGTCTATGTCTCTTTCCAAGAAATAGAGATTATGCACGAATTTCTTTCTATATAGCTAGTCGTGTTGTCTGCCTGAGTAAAAAGGTACAACCGTAGCAGGTATTAATGTAACAGGAATCGAACAAAACGAATATGGAAATCAATTCCTTCAGAACAAACGCCATCTATACAGATGCAACTGCCGCAAGGGTATACAAAATGGAAGAGATGCACCAAACAGTCCATGATAGACCGGAGCGTAAGAAGGAAAAAAGGTATAGCAGACAGCAAAAAGTCGTTCATAGCCCCAACGGGGAACATCAACGATGGGGCGAGGGTGCGAGGGTGCGAGCGGGCAAGGGTTCATACAGCATGCTCGCCCGTGCGCTTCATATCATCCATTTCATATTCTTGCAAGCTACGTTCTCGACCGCGGCCGCGACCAAAACTCGACTCCTGCTGACCATCGCCGGCAGATGCTTGTGACGATGGGCCAGCCTGTGTGCTGCCACCATGGCCACCAAACTTGATAGGCTCGAGCTCCCGTCTTTGGCATGCCCACATGCCGAGGAAGGTCATCATGGCTGCACTGGCGAATTGAAGTCCCCACCAGAGTAGGTTTGAAGGGAGGGAGTGGGTGTACAAAGTAGTGGTGATGAGGTGGAGGAAGTGGATTGTCAGGGCGAAATCCGGGACCAGCTTTGAGCGGGATACGAAAACAAGTAGGAACATGACGCTGAGTATCCCCAAGAGGAGAGTATAATTAGTCGCTGATCGAAATACTGCTCACGATGTCGAACCAGTGGACAACTCACCTAATAAAGCAATTCAACAACCACACCAACCCCAAAATCCATCCAATGGTCGTATCACCGCGCAGGGAGTCCCAGCCGAAGACCAGATCTAGAGAAAACGGTGCTCCATAGACAACTGTCGTGAACAAGATGAGCACCGTGGCGCAGGCATAGTATGCAAGCTGTAGCAAGAGGATCTTGCGGACGATCTTCAGCGGAGGGAGTTCGGTGCGCGACCCCGCTGGCGGACGCCGGCGCGCGGACATTAACTAAACAGATGATGGGGGTATTGTCGCCCTTGCGAATTTCGTTTCAAGGTCGAGGTGTCAAGGTGGTCGGATTGAGCTCGCCGCTCGAGGCGAGGGTAAGATGGAGGCGTGGGGAAGTGAACATGCAATGCTAGTCGGGAGGGCGTTCCAAGCGAAATCCAGAGAGAAAAAGTATCCGGTACTAGAGGCTTCAAAACTATATGTAAATTCCAGAAAGTTGAGTGCGTCGAAAGTGAAAAAGGGTCCGGAGATGGAGATCGCCTGCCTGGGATCAACAGTCTTGGCGGTCACAGGCCCGACCCGCCAACAACTGGGTAACTGCCGTCACTGACACCTTTTGGCTGCACAACTCGCTACAAACCATTGCATTCTCTACTGATTTGAGCTCGACGGGTCAAATTCTCACTCACTCCCTGTCCGATATAATCATCTCTCCGAAAATGGGCTGGCTACCTTGGTCTTCCGGCGATTCAAACAAGAACGAAGCCTCCGACGGCGGCCGCATTGCCCGGACCGAACGAGTCGCGCGCGCTGCTGGGAGGGCCGTGATCGATTTTTCGCCTGTCTTGACAAGAACGATATCCTGGACGGTATTAAAGATGATAAGAAGGCGCGACAGAAGTGCGCGAGCGAAGTTGCGGAGTTTGAGGCAGCATGTTCACAGAGCTGGGTACGTACGACGAGATCTTTAATCGGATGCTCAGGATTATCAGTTTTTGTTGTTTCCTAGCTTGCTCTACGTTATATCTGTTCATTGGCGGATTGCTAACTCGATATTCTTCGCGTTTACTAGGTGAAATACTTCAAGGAAAAGCGTGTTATGGAGTTCAACCGGGACAAGACGATTGAGCGCATTCAAAAGGAGGATGCAGCCAAGGTGAAGGAGTTGAAGGAGAAAGGTTGGAATTCGAAATAAGAAGACAGGGGGACTTCGTCGGCGGTTTTTGTACAATATGTAGCATATCCTCTCTTATCACGTTCATTGATGACCACTCCATTTCGAAGGTACATTGCTAGAAGCTGTAAGCATGGGAGGGAGGGCTTTGTTGCACAATCCCAATGCCCTGTATATTCCAAATTGTAGGGTCTAGCACTCGTCGCTGTGCAGCGGGAGAAATTTTCAGATCTGCAATGGAATAGGCCTTTACAAAATTGCGTACTAGTACACATATGCAAGTACATAGGCAACTTGCGCAATTATCTACAAATATGGAGGACTGCAATTCGCCTGACTCTGGCCACCCTCATAAAAGCGGCACCCAAGACGCCCCAGAAAGCCCTGGCAGAGGGAATATGGTAGAGTGTACACACACTTTGATACGAAAGGAAGAGATGTCATAAGTATAACCCAACATGTTCTAGGGAACATCTGTATTATGTCCGAAGGCGGGAAATAAACCAGTAGTCACAATAAGCAAGAGTCCAATGGTAGGAAAAAACACGTCAACTCCGTCCTAGGTACCGCCTTGCCCTAATATCTACCTAATATCTTACTGCGTTTGTCACACATGAGAAGCAAAGAGCAAAAAGGAAAGAAAAGGAAACGCCTAGTGTTGCAAGAACTGGTTTTTGGCCAGCCAGAAAAAAAGGAACCGAAGCAGAGCACTGAAATCCACCAAGTAGGGATGCAAGAACGCCAGGCTCCGGAAATGAACAATGACAATATGAACTTTAAGTTCGAATGAGGATGATAGGGAGTAGGAGAGTCGTGAAATCATTGCTTCCATTTAGCCAGGTGCTGCATCAGGTTCTGTACCTGGGGCCCGGTAGGTCCCTGGCCCTGCTGCTGTTGTCCACCTAGTCCTTTGGCCAGGAGCGAGAGCAGATTTGGATCGGTGATGACGGGTGCATTTACAGGCTGGAGATTGAAGGGTGGGTGGGGAAGGGGTTGATGTGCGGTAGGTTGCATAGGTGGAGGCCGATGCGTGTTGGTCAGGAGACTGGCGAGATCGGCCGGAGGTGGGTTTGGCGAGGAGAAGGGTGACTGGGTAGCAGACACGGGCTGCGAGTGGGGAGGCCGCTGGAGCGCCGACAAGAGAGTCGAAAGGCTAGGACCATCCAGCGAACCAATGAGGTTCGCAATGTTGGGTGGATTTGAAAGCGCAGGCAAGCCAGGTGGAGGAACCGGCATAGGCTGTCCTGGAGGGACAATGAAACCTGGATTGGGTGCAAATGCGGTTGGGGCTGCTCCTCGCTGCATCGCTTGGGCTTGGTGGCTCAGGAGCTCAGCGGACATATTAGGCTCGAGCTCAGGGTAATCTATGCGAAAAAAAGAGAGATAAGTAAGGCGTCGACGAAGAAGCGAACACAGAATGCGCCTACCAAGGAAGCGGACATTATCCAATCCAGCGGTTCGATCAAATAGCTGCAGAGGAATCTTCCGAGAGACTTGATTGGGACGAGAGAGGCGGACAACCGCAAGAACGCCTTCAATAAACTGACGATGCACGGCGGCGCCAAGAGGAATCCGTGGACCAAGCACCAGGACATCCACTCGCAATCCACGGTTGCGGAAAGCGTTCTCTACATGAAGAACGAAGTTTCTTCGCAACGTCAGTGACTTTATCCAAACAGACACCGAGAGATTCAACCCACCTGTCAAGTTCCTCCAGCACGAGGAGCTGCACCTCTGGCACATCTCGCTGAGCTCGTCGAGGCACTGGTAAATCCGCTTCGCCTTCATAGATACCACGTGGTCTTGGGCTGATGCTGCGGTAACGCCGATCTCTGGAATAAGGAGAGCGCGGAGAACGGGGAGAACGGGAGCGCCTTCTCTCGCGGCGATCAAATCTTTCTGGGCTTCTGTCTCGCGACCGATACCCATCTCTAGACCCCCGAAAGGGTCGTGGGGAGGGCGATCGCGGCGGGCGATAATCGTCGCGTCTGCTACGGTGAGAAGGTTCATCCCGGAAATCGCTAAACGGAAGCCGACTTGGTTCGTATGGCTTAGGCCGGTCATACCGATCGGCAGGGGCCCGGACGTTGGTTCGCCCAGGAGCAGCACGGCTGAACTCCGGTGACCGGGAACGACGTGGCGGCGGTGCACGGGAAGGTTCGGGTGCTTGAGTGGGTCGGGTCGATCGCTGAGGCTTTGAAATTTCGAGATCTGGGAACAGTTAGGTCTTTGAGAGCGAAATTATTGAGCTACAGGTTCGAGCACTCACGTATCTTCCTGCCCGCACAATGGCTCCCTGTTCGACGTCGAGAGCCGCACGGCAGGAACTAGCCTCTAGAAATTGTATGAAGCCGTACGCCTGCTTGATCGATATCTGAGCCAGTTTGCCGTATTTATGGAAGATATGGAACATGTCTCGCTTGGTGACTCTTTCCGTAGGGAGGTTGCCTGCATATGGTACAACTGTTAGATCGACGAAGAGTAGGTATAAGTCAGGACAATACTGACCAACAAACAGCCTGGAGCCCATCGGGAATCGATCCCAAAGACCTTCCGTCACATAGATTCGTTCGTCGTGCAGAAACTCGTCATATTTCTTTTGGACCTCTGGACCCCATGGCGAATCATCGTCACCAGGCTTGGTAGACCGACCCTGCTTTTCAATACGGCCTTTCTTGGAGGCTACAGAAGGCTCCTGCAGGGAGCCCTGAGATTCAGCACCAGTAGATGGGGTTTGCGGGAAGGTGGCAATAGGAGCCTCGGCCCCTCCAGGGGCAGTGTTAAATGGCTGAGACTGGGTTTGGGGCTGAATATTACTAGGTTGGGCTGAGTAGGCAGGCGACGCAGTGGCAGCGGCATCATGGGCAGACGCAAGTTGGTGGTATGCCACCTCGCCATTTGGAGTATAATGGGCCTGGATAGAATCGTGGCTTTGGGCATGAGGGTGGGCAGGGATGCCCTGGGATTTGAGGGACTCGCCAGCAGGCGCTTGGTGGAGAGACGAGTTCTCAGCCGAAGAAGCGGCGGGAATGGTTGCACCAGGGTTAGGATGAGAAAGATTATCGAGGAGTTGCTGGAAATTGACACCTCCCCCGTTGTGTCCCATGCGTTCCTCAGCAATTTGGCGATCCGGCATCCTTGACTGCTCCGGGTGGGCATGGTCTACTTCGCTCCCAGTGGCAAAGCCTTCGGATACCGGAGCAACCGGAGCAGGGTGTGAATAAGTGGAATCGGAGTGAGAAAAACCTGAGCTCGGATGGCCGACTCCTTCGGACCCCGACGCTGGGTTGGGAGGGTAGTACGCAGAAGCAATCATCGCATTCTGCATCCCAGGATCCGGCTGCGACCCATGAAAACTACCAGCATCTTGGGTCTGACTAGGTCCCCCCCTGACCATCTTTTAACCCTCCGTGCGACCATCCATGTGTTTGCGAGACCTGTTTATACACCGAGCGTTCATAGGTGGTTGTATCGTTGAAGACGGGGTCCATTTGGTTCTCTAAAACCGGGATATTGGATGGCTCGGGGATGTGTAGGGGTCGAGGACTTTCCGGAGTCAGAGTCTTTCCACGAAAGTGAAGCGCTTCATCGGGACTGGGCGTCATGTAGACTTTGAGGAGGTGGTGGTTTCATCTACGGAGAAAAAGTGTCGGGATGAAGAGGGTCCTTGGGAATTTTCGCAATCGCAAGCTAAGGTGGGGCGATGGGAAAAAGATGGGTCGGATTTCTCAGACCTCACCCAGAAGGGAAAGGGGGAATGAAAAGGAAGTAAAATAGGCGATGAAGAAGGGGGAATAGGGAAATAGGTGGGGGGGTTCTAGAGGTGCCCAGGTCAGAAGTGGAAAAAGTTTGGTCAGGTGAGTAATTGGAGGCGTTGAGATTCTGGACTTGGAGATATGTCCATCACGAGCGCGAGCTGGGTTTTATTCTTATTTTTTATGTTAATTTTTTATTTAGCTAGATTCATAGAGAAGAAAGAATATATTCCTACATATGTAGTTTATAGATTATGTAGAGCAATGGTAGATGTACTATAATTATAACCACTCTTAACACTAGAACCACTATGGAACTATGTCACATCATTCCATTCCAACCACTTCAATTACTTTAAACACTTTAAACACCTGGGCAATCTAAATCAGTTACTCTAAAAACTATAGCCAAATAAAAGCTTCTGTTACGTACGCTAAGCGGGGCTAGACCTGGCGAGAAAAGCGGCATTGCAATTCTTTAGATGTTTTAATTAGTCACCGCCTCTCCCTTCTTCTCGTATACAATAACTAACTACCTAGGTACCCAGGACATACTACCTCATGTATTGCCAATGGCGTATACACTGCTTTCGAGCACCCTTGAGAAGATTTGCATCTCAAGCTGACCAGGATATACAACTAGCCAGAGATTGGCTCAAAACCCTCAATTCCAAGACCATCCCCCGCAACATCTGCGAGGTCTCGTTCAGTCGGTCCAGCGGTCCGGGCGGGCAAAATGTGAACAAGTCAGCGCCCCCACTTGAAGATCAATAGTACTGAATGTTGCAATGCTAACCGGGAAACGGGGGAAATAGGGTCAACTCCAAAGCTACCCTGAAAGTCCCATTGGATGCGTTGCTGCCCTTGGTTCCCCGTCTGATACACCATCCACTACGCGCTTCCCGATATGCCGCCGAAAGAACCCAGTGTCTAATCATCCAGTCGGATGAGGAGCGGAAACAGTCTAACAATGTGGAATCCTGTTTTGATAAGCTCTATCAACTATTGCAGAGCTCGGCCAAGGAAGTGATCCCCGGGGAAACATCCCAAGCGCAAAGAAATCGTGTCCAAAAATTGTATGTTTACTCTTTCCATGCAAGCAATCTGGCGAATCTAACGAGAAAAAAAAAAATACAGACAAAGGGCTCAAAATGAAGGCCGGATCAAAGACAAGAAAAAACACAGCGACAAGAAAAGTAGTCGCCGGGGAAGCAAATACGATGACTGATAATGATCATGCAAACTACCTGATGATAGCATAGGGACAAGTTCACCAGTGGACCCTGAATTTTGATAATATCCGATCAACGCCTAAGTGCTAAGTACAAATACTTGGGTATGCTATATGTATGCTACTCCTGTGCCGCGCGCTCTGCATTGCGGACGGTAGCCGCAATAACCTTCTGCAACGAAGGATCCAGATCCTCTGTTGACTGAACAGGTTGAAGCCAGTTGATCACTTGGCGTGCGAGGTCCTTGCCCATGGGGTACTCTCTGAGGCGGACAAGCGAGCTACCAAGCGCCCGCGGGAATTCGGCCGAAGTGAAGGGGATTCCAGCGGTCGGGAACTTGATGTAGCAAATCTGCGTCCGTGGGCTGGAAGGCTTGTTGGCGCGCATTGTCTCAATCACATGCTCCAAAATCTTGCGAAGGCAAGGCGCATCCTGGAATTCCCAAGTCATATCAAAGAACTCCTGACCGAACCGATCATCGTGGTTGAAGTGCTTTGTGGCGGTATCAAAGACGGCGAGCGGGATAGCACCGCTCAGAGCAGGTGTGGAGTTCAGGTTTTGCAGTGCAACCTGGTCTACTTCTCCGTCCGTTCCGTTGCTCGGGTTGATGTCCTCAGCTGTGAGTGATGGGAGCGCAATCATGTCGGCATCGGTGTCGTCGATTTCTGCTTCTTGGATCGGCTTAGGTTTTTGGCTCTCCTCGTCGAGTCCGAGAATCTTTTGGCGAGCAACCACCTTTGCGATGTAAATCAATTCCAGCTTTGCATATTGAATCCAAATTGTCCTCGCGCTCTTGCAGAACCGTAGACCACGCTGCATGTAACTCCGAGCCTGTGTCATATCTCCGTGATCATCGAGGACGTGCTTAGCGGCATAAACCCATAATTCGGCGCAGGTAGGGTGTAGTCGCAGAGCATCGGTGAAAATCATGAGGAGCTTCTTGTGTGCTTTTTGTTTGCGAGCATATTCAATGTACTGGACCCAGAGGTTGATATCGCCGTGGAACTTGCGTGTAGCTCGGTCGAGAATGAAAAAAATGCGTCGCTGGCCGTTGAATCCTGCCGACCGGATCCCAAGTCGCTTCACCCGCTTCTTTCGCAGCACATCGAGGTTCATTTCGTATTCAGCATAGCGCACAAAATCCACCGGCTGTGCACCACGCGCGTTAAGCTTGTGCTCGAAATCAGATCGTTTTTTAACGATTGAGGAAATTTCATCCTGGTTATCCTGATCAGCTACCATTCTGATGGAAGAACTCCGCTTTGCGGGCTTACCTTGGTGAAAATCTTTTTGCGCTCATATTCCTTGAGCTCAGGCACAGACTTCTCGAGGAAGAATCGAGCCTTATCTGTTGCGGCGGACATGATTGCTGTTCACTGAAGATGTTAAAAAAAAAAAAGTCGGCATCCCGCATCGAAAAAACACCGATCAGCCCCAGAGTGCGCTTAGCCGCATCGGGTTAGCGCAAAGGACACTCACAAGCACCGAGGGATCCGGACGTTGTTTTCATTTCCCTCAGGGGCCGTTTGCTCGTGACATCTTGTTTAAGTCGTTTTTCCTTTCGTTCTTTTTCTTGACACTCTTTTCTTTCCCATTTCTTGCTTTTTTTTTTATCATATAGGTGCAGAGATTGCCTTTACCTCTGTGCCGCCATGGCTCCCCGATACAAGGACGGAGATGCCGTGGTTGCCGTAAGTTCCCAAGCGCCATGCGATTCGGATCTAGAAAAGCCACTGACTTGACATCTTTGTAGATCAATGGCAAATGGGTCGCGTGGACTCACACGGTTTTCGCATATGCAGCGTTCATCAGCGCCTTGATTGTCGGCGTTGCTTTGCACTACCACAAGATAGTTCAAAACGAACATTACGGCTACCCCATTGAATGGTTCCCCTCCGTGTCTGCGACCATCGGTGACCGATACCCTGAAAGGTCCTTTTTCCAGGTCTTCATTGCTATTACTTCCGGTCCTCGCTTCGCCCTCGTCTTCCTGTGGTACATCCTGACTGCGCGTCCGAACTCGACCTTACCCAAGTTGGTCGCCGGGGTGGGCATCTTCCGGACATTGACATGCGGTGGTTGGACCTATGTCACATCTACCGATGACCACGACTGGCATGACATCTTCATGATCTCGTACTTGGTGGCCACCTTACCGTGGACCCTGGGTTGCCTCGCGCTCAGCCCGGTCAACCGCCGTGCCGTCAAGTACCGCAAAATCATGGCCAGCTTGTTCTTTGGAACTTTGGTTCCGTTGGTCTACTATTTCATTCAGCACAAGGTCCACAAGGTTCCTGGTGGTGAGTACTTGCCATTGTGCGCATCCAACTGGAGGTTACCGCATGCTAATTAGTCAAACCTTTAGCCTACACCAAATATGCCTTCTTTGAATGGTCCCTGATCCTGTTCGATGTCGGTTTTGATGCTGTCACAGCTCTTGACTTTGAGAGCTTCGAACTGGTCGTGAGGGATGTCAAGGGTGTTAGCAGAGGGTATGTACCGTGGCTTCCAAAATGACATTGCCCACATCAAATGTATAGTGCCAAAGGCTATATTGTTTTTGAACAAAGAAAAAACGTCGTCTAAGTTTGTGCTCGTTAGGCAATTGGAAACGACCGCAGATTCTGTCTTGGAGAAAGAGTGTGTACAAACCCATAACCAACTACAACCACCCTGGAAATTAACCACATACGTAGGAAGGGCAAGCCAGTAGGCAACACCTTTGGCGAGGGCTTCTTTTGGACCGAGGTCATTGATGCCGCCTCCGATGTCTACAATGGGGTAAATTATACCAGCCGATCATTGGTCTCTTGCGTTACTGACAATGGAATGTAGTTTGTTTTCTGGACCATCGTGACTGCTCTGCCTGTCCTTGTCTGGTGTAAGTGACATGTATACCCTGGTACGGATGAACTTGTCTGACCTTGATAGACTTCCCTCTTTGGCACATGGGTATCTCCGGATACGAGGTTGCCATTGTTACCTGCACATCCCCGTTGCTTTACGTTATCCCATCCCTCCGATATGCAGCGGCGAAGAATCTTCGTCTTCTTCACCTGTTTTCGCTCGTTGGCCTTCTCGCATACAAGTTCCAGGATCCTGCCAACCGACTCTTTGTGACTGGGTTCGCTCTTGCTACTACTTGTGCAGCATGGACCGCTAGCTTCTTTTCGGAAAGGGGCAACACCCCTCGTCTCGAGACCCGTATTATGGCCTGGGGAATCGGATTGATTATGTCCGTCGTTGCCAAGTTCGCATGCAAGACCAACAATCCCCTCTGGCCAATTGTTCACGCCGAGAACGGTGGCTGGAACAAAGTCGGGATCTTCCTTGCTCTGTTCGCTGTTTTGAGGTCTCAGAGAGGCTCAACCACAAGCGGTGGTGATTACTTGCCAGCAGGTGGAAAGAAGGGCTCGTCCATTCTTGCTGGTGTCGGATTTGGCGCTCTGATGTTCGCCATGGTGTCACTTTTGACTGACTCGAGTACCATGATCTCGTGGGTCTGGGACGGATACCCAGTACGCGGACCGCTTGCAGCTCCTCACGGTGCTCTGACGATCTTCGCAATGGGAGCCGGCCTTGTGTACGGCATCTTCCACCCTAGAATCGCTGGAAGCTGGACTGCCTTCGGTGTCGGTTCCATTGGTGCTGCTCTTCTTACTTGCTACCACCACTGGACTGGATTCTATGGCGCCCTCATTTTTGCGTTCTATATCATGGCCGTTGCTCCTGTTCTGATTGTGTCCAGTGTTCGTCACTCTCCTGCGAGCACGTTCGGCATCGGTTTCATCGTTTATGTGGTTCTTTTGCTCTTCCACGTTTGGGTTGTCGCCTATGCCTTCGTGCCAGGTGGCCCGTTGCTTCGTGAGCACACTGACTGGCTCATGACCACTACAATGCTGTCCATTGGCGCGGGTGTCTTCTCTGCGGCGACCTCGAACTCGACTCGCTCCCGCAAGCCCCACAAGCCTGTCAACCCCAATAGCAGGAAACAGCGATCGTACTATATCTACGTTCTTGCTGTGCTGCAACTACTTTCCGTGTCTGTCGCCTACCTCCGCTTCCCGACCAATGACTACATTCCTTATCACAAGGAGGACAAGGTTGTGACCGCTGGTATCTGGACTGTCCACTTCGGCCTCGACAACAACATGTGGTCATCTGAGCGCCGCATGCGCGACGTCATTGGCGAGCTTGAGCTGGATGTCATTGGTTTCCTCGAATCCGACAACCAGCGTATCATCATGGGCAACAGGGATGTCACCCAGTTCATCGCCGAGGACCTTGGCTACTACACTGACTTCGGCCCTGGCCCCAACAAACACACCTGGGGCTCCGCCCTGCTGTCCAAGTTCCCCATTGTGAACTCCACACACCACCTCCTCCCCTCGCCTGTGGGTGAGCTGGCACCTGCAATCCACGCCACACTCGACATGTACGGAGAGATGATTGATGTTGTTGTGTTCCATTCCGGACAGGAGGAGGATCCCGAGGACCGCCGCTTGCAGAGCGAGTATCTGTCAAAGTTGATGGGCGACTCCCCACGTCCTCTGATCCTGTTGAGTTACCTCGTCACCAAGCCGCTCGAGGGTAACTACAACACCTACGTGAGTGAGCGTAGCCAAATGAAGGATATCGATCCTACCGACTGGGATAGATGGTGCGAGTACCTTCTCTTCAAGAAGCTGCACCGTACTGGCTACGCCAGAATCAGTCGTGATACCATCACGGATACGGAAATCCAGGTAAGTAATCTTCTTTTCTCTTTCTATGCGTGCTTAATTTCTAACTGTTTCGTGATTTAGGTTGGAAAATTCGTCATTGGCGAGCCTGAACCCGAAAATGAGATGCGTATCCCAGAGGAGATGGTCCCCGTTGGCCGCCGCTTCCCTGCCTTGTTCCGCGGCCAGGGAGTGCGCGGACACCGCTACCACGTCTTCGATGAGCCCAGGTACTGGCAATAGACAGTCTGCCTGGGGAAGGAGCGTGAATACGCTTCGTTGTGCTAAAGTTGGCTTGAAGAAGATTGATGAGTCTGCCATATTGTGACATAATTAAGGACCAAACAAGGCAGTCATCCCGCTGTGCTTGGGGTTGCTAATATATCTAGCGTACTTGAATGACGAGATTATTTTCTGTTAATCGTTTTCCTAATCTACCGATGTTTACTTTTGACTCTTGCTTCTCAGTCTCCTACGTCTTCGTACATTACATGACCCAAGGGACATACAGTTTATGTATTGCATCCCAGAGGGTGAGTACATAGAAAGTAGGTCTTCTACTATTGTGGCCCTTTAGGCTCTTCTCTGTACATTGTCCCTAGACTTCTTTCAGTAGTGCTGGGGAATCTTCTTCCTGCTTTGATCATGTTGCCAATTGAAACTCAAACCCATTTTGAATATTGACAGTGATTTTTAGCAGTCTCGACTGAAATATGGGAATCTTGCTGCAATCAGATCAGCAGGTTCATGAGACAGCATCCCTCTTTGTGTCATGTTGCTGGAAAGCGGTACGCTATCCCAGAATAAAAGGCTTGTAAACTGGCGCTTTTGTGAATGTTAGTCTCGAGATTTCCTTTGTCCTGTGCTGACAGGCGTCCGCTAATAATAGCCCTAACCATGTCAAAGACGGTTTGAATCTAACCTAGTCGATCAGGTCATCCAACTGATAGAAGTTACCACAGGGTTTTCCCCCGCTCATGTGTCGAATATCGCCATTCGGCATTTGATATGCAGCCATCGAGTATTCGACACAAGGCAATGGCATCAAAGAAACACGCCTGCCTAGGTGTTTTCCAGCGGCCATACTGCTTACTCGATTCGAACACAGGCTCTTCATGGCCGCACGGGCTCATCCATCCTCAAAGTTCTTTGTATCGTTTTGAATTCTGGTGTCAGACCCGGACAAAGGGGAAATATCCCTCTCTTTGTTTCAGAGGCGTTTCCGTGATAGGAAGTAGGGGGGGCCATTGCCAAATCCGGACACGATGTAGGTTTAGTCTCCCCTGGTCAGCTTTTGCTTCTTGGAACTGGCTGATATCTCCATTTGGAAGCAAGCCCGAACCCGGTGCCTTCGAAACTCCACATTTCCCAGCTTGTCTGGGGAAAAGTGCCCAACTTGCTAGGATACTACTATATTGGGGTTGAATAATAATAAATAGAAGTCTGGATCTCTCTGGAGTAAACAGGCGCGAATTTCTGGAGAGAACCGGGAATAACGGCTCAGACTCAGAAGGGTTCGGAAACGAGGTATTATGTTTCTGGGACTGATATTCGGGGAATTGTTCTCATTCTCTTTGATGTGAGTCAACTTCATTAAATATCGATTCTTGGTACCGAGTACTGCTTCGCTTCTTGTGGTTCATTGTTCTTCATGCATTCGAAGTCTGATGATACTCTTGCTTCTTTTCTTTGAGTGGCTTCGATAGGTTGGATTCCTTAATTGTTCGATTGACTTCTTTCCGTTCCATCTTCACAAGCTAATGCTGGTCTTCTGTATCTCGGAATTTCGATTTGAAGTGAACAAATGCCCATGAAGTGAATAGTGCCAACAAAACTTATACACCTGCTGCATTACAACTGTTAGCAAACCTGATTAATTTGAGCAAAGCTACTTTCGATTGCAAAAAGCGGAACATTGCAAATCAAGACTGACTTGAAACGCTCTTTGTCAAGGCCCTCGGCGTATCTGTAATAAGCTGGGCGTGGTCAACAAAGAAGAGGGCTCGAAAAGATATTTTTAATTCTCTTTGTGTTGCTGAAGTATCTGCACGTTGCTTGGTCTCTCCCTACTCGTGCTTTGTCTACTGGCACGAATATGTGGCCGGTCTATGTCTTCTATTAATATAGAGCCAACATGTCCAAATTTATCCTTAACCACGAACATATCGACATTCTTCACTTGAATTCTCTATCAACAGATCTATCACAATTCTTATAACGGCTCCAATTGATAATAAGTATGGTCACCGTGTTACTATTCTACACATTCACTGGCTAACGTATCAAATCAGATCGGAATACTATCCATCGAGTCGGAAAGATGGTTACAACACGACGAATGGCTACGGGCACTCAGCCAAAGGCCCAGCCTCTACCGGCTAAGCCTTCCAAGGCCGAAAAGGCCGCTAAAGACGCCAGACTAAAGATTGAGAGGGAGGAAAAGAAGGCCGAGAAGGCTGCAGTGAAGGCTCTAAATGATGCGAAGAAAGCTGCAACGAAGGCTGAGAAGGATGCGACCAAGGCTGCAGCCAAGGCCGAGAAGGACGCAAATAAAGCTGCAGCAAAGGCTGCGGCAAAGGCTGCCAATGCCAAAAGCACCACAAAGCGCACAAAGCGCACAGGTGCGAAGACGAAAGGAACCAAAACCACCAAAATCGCCAAAACTGCCAAGAAGGCGAAGGCCGCGAAGGCTTCAGCAAACCGATATGATGAAGACGAGGACGAAGATGACGACGACGAAGAAAGCGAAGAAGAACACTATGAGCCTCAGGCCAAAAGGCGCAAGGTCGAGACTCGGGCTCCTCCCAATCTTCGCGTGGAAATGGGCCCGCCCAAAGCAAAGCGTCCGGCTTTAGGAATTGGGGAATGGGTGTACATCAAGGAAGCCTTTCTCCCAGAAGGTATCGAGAACGAAGATAACAGACTTCTACCACAAATCTACATTGGAGGTGCTGCACCGCAGCCTCGTTGGGTGATCACTCAGACCCAAAGCATAAAACGACCTGCCTCAAATGCCAAATCCAGCAGGCCTGATGGCACGAAGGACTTCGGCAGTCTACAATGGACCTTTGAAGAAGGTGACTTCGAGAAATGGACCGGGCTAGAATACCCAGCTCTTTACGAACTTGCGTACAAGTGCCTCGAATACACGCTCACTGATACAGAGGTGCGGGAGCAGATCTATGGATCCCTGGCCCACCCCGCGGGTCCCTTGCCCAAGGCCGTGACTGTCGGGGACAAATGGCAACCAGCTCTGCCGCCAGCACCCATCACGAGGCACTTTTCGTCAGGCTCCGAGCAAACTAGTCGAAAGTCAAGTGATACGGCCTTTTACTTCCGCGACTATAAGCGTCCAAACATGGCAGTCCAATTGGATAAAAAGCCCATGGCGAAGCAGTATCCGCATGCCGTGACTACCCACATCTATAATCGAGCGACATCGGAGGCATGGCCCACTGCCCGCGCTCTGCAAGTCCGGACGCAGAAAGCGAACGGGGCAGTGAGCAAGGTGGCGAAGGAAGCCAGTCAAGCGAATCCAGGACTTCGTCTGTGTCGGAGGCACCTTACCTGGAACGAAATCCAGAGGCCACTTACTCGGAACCGACAATCACTACTACCGCTCTTGGAAATGAGCAGAACCGCAAGCAGGACAGCGAGCAAGACAGCGAAGAAAATCAGTCAGTCGATTCCAGAAGGTCGTCTGTGACCAGGAACTCTAGCCTGGAACTGAATCCAGAGAGCACTTATTCGGAACCGACAACGCCTGTGCCTCTAGGAAACGATGAGAAAATTTCACGAATTGGTGAGTACAAATGTGCTTAGTTCGATGTGGTTTCCTCACATGTTCCTTTGCTTTTTCCTGTATGAGACACAATGAGCTACATGGAAGCAGTCCGAGCCAAGGCGTCTAGGTCGAGTCTCTTGATTGGTTATCACGGCTCTAGGGAAGAGGAGGACTAATCACTTTGACATTACATCCATGAATGTTGCATACTGCAGATCTATCCGCGCAATGCGCTGACTGGTGGGCTCTAGATACAATCTCGGAAGATGGTTCAATCTTTGGCGACGGCGATGACGTTCAGGCTGAGCCCAACTCAGCTCGGGACTCTCGAGAGCAATCGCCTAATGGCGTTTTCTCCGGCTCCGGCTCCGGCAGCGAGGTCAGCGCTTCTTCCAAGACCAGTGAGACTATCAAGGTCAACGTCGCTGACGATAATAGCGCTCAATCGACGAATAGCCTGTCCCCAGTATCCCATGATGGGCTCTTCAGCCCTGGACAGATTGAGAGGTATTATAGCAAGAAGCAAATGAATTGTGAGTCAATCTGCTTATTTATCACCCCAGTCAATCATGCTAATGTTTAGTTCAAGTTGAAAGGTTAGGCGGAATTGAACATCATGAAGGGCCAGAACGAAAGCGTCAAGCACAGCCATCATCAAATTCCGAAAGGGAGGCGCTGGATGCACTGGAAGGTACACATAAGGAGGCGGAGGCAAGAGAACTCGAAACGGAAGAGGTGTCAAACCCAAGTGAACGAATGCGCATGGAGTCAACGCCATCATCACCACCAGCTTCGACTCAAAGGAAGACAGCGGCTGGGATCAGGGTGGATAAAATTATGTCATCCGTACGAGCAGAACAAGGAAAACGGAACGAAATGCGAGCAGCTGCAGCGGAGAAAATATCAGACAGGCCGCCGGTGGCACTGTTGAAGAAGACTACAGGGAATCAGACGGGTGCAAGATCACAGGCGGACGCACCTAGTCCTGAGATTCCGCCTAATCTGCAAGATGGGTTTCTGGAACAGACAAAGGCATATCTAAAAGATCCAATTCAGAGGGCGAGACATTTCCCTGACCCTCTGGCTGTTCGCCGAGTAAGAGTGTGGGCAGGGGAGGAATTGGCGGGCCATAAGATCAAACCCACAGTCGACGCTACGCTACCCCCTTGGGCTGAAAGGCACCGGCCCTTCAGTCAATGGCAGGATCCAGTAAGTGCCTTGGTTCATTAGGCTTTTTGAGAATCACGCTGATCATGATCGATCAGATTGGGCTAGCGCCTGTGCCTGCGACACGCACAAAGGTCTCGAGATCGAAAAAGCGGAGCAAGGGACAAGGTAAGAGAAGGCCAAGACCAGCATCTGCAAAAGAGCAGTCAGTCAGTTCAGCCCGGTGGTCATCGTTTAGATAAGCCTATTGTGTACTTATTGTAATGGAGTTTGGGATGTTCCTTGGATGATCGTTGGATCGGAGTTATATAGATTCGGAGTTTAGGATGTCCATGTCTTGTTATTTGAATTTGTTGGCTTGTTTGTACTTTTACTTAACCGTTACCATTCTTCTGGGCATTCATTCATTGTTACAACTGAGTCGGAGCGAAGCATGTATGTTGTCCTGCCATAATCGCAAGGCAACACTTTGTTGCATGATACTCAGTAAATGTCAAAAGTTAAAATAGAAGGCAATGGTTACCTGCAGCTAGGTGAAGCATAAGTTAAAAAAAAAAGTGTTTGAGGGAAGAACTTGATCTATACAATAGGTTCGGCATTTATACTACTAGACGTCACGTGCAAACCGAACAAACAGCTCACCCGTCGTCTGGTATCTCACGTCTTTGTTCGCGAAAGTCGGATCAATTTGACACCCTGACATAATGGATCAATATTGGAATTGACCAAATACCTCGAGGCATACAGCTGCATTGATCGTGACCGATCCGTCGCCACATCGCTGGTTCAGAACAATCGCGGCTACTAGGTTTACCATAAGTAACGGCAGATTCTCAAGATGTTCACTTTCACTCCTCTCCTTGGTGCCCAGTCATCATCTTCGAGGGCATCGCAGTCTATCTTGGAGCTTGATGGAGGCATCAAGATTCTAGTGGATGTTGGTTGGGATGATAAGTTCAATACCCTTGATTTAGCGGAACTTGAGAAGTGAGCATGCGATCAACGCGTTTCCTTGTTTGAAATTAGATGAGCTAATATTACCATCAGGCATATTCCTACACTTTCTCTTATTCTTTTTGACACACGCGACGCCCGCTCACATTGGCGCTCTAGTCCATTGCTGCCGAACATTCCCTCTCTTCACGCAAATCCCAATCTATGCAACGAATCCCGTCATCGCTTTCGGCCGTACGCTCCTACAAGACCTTTATGCCTCCGCCCCGCTTGCTGCAACATTCCTACCGAAGGCTTCTGTTTCAGAGCCAGGCGCATCGTCAGCAGGGTCTGCGACTGTGCCAGGCGGAGATACCGAAACCGCTGGCAGCACAAGCCGAATACTGCTTCAATCGCCGACAGCGGAGGAAATTTCTCGATACTTCTCTCTCATCCAGCCACTGAAATATTCTCAACCCCACCAACCGCTCCCATCACCTTTCTCCCCGCCCTTGAACGGGCTTACTCTCACAGCCTACAATGCCGGTCACACCGTCGGTGGAACGATATGGCATATTCAGCATGGGTTGGAATCTATTGTCTATGCAGTGGATTGGAACCAGGCTCGTGAGAGCGTGGTCGCGGGTGCTGCGTGGTTCGGTGGCTCTGGCGCCAGTGGAACAGAAGTCATTGAACAATTGCGGAAACCCACAGCCTTGATCTGCAGTACAACGGGAGGCGATAAGCTGGCACCTTCGGGAGGTCGGAAAAAGCGAGACGATCTCCTGCTCGATATGATCCGTAGTAGCCTTGCGAAAGGTGGAACAGTGCTCATTCCTACAGACACAAGTGCGCGAGTTCTTGAACTGGCCTACGCACTGGAACACTCTTGGCGTGATGCCGCGAATGGCGACAAAGAGGATGTCCTTCAAGGAGCTGGGTTGTATCTGGCTGGAAAGAAGGTTACCAACACAATCCGACTCGCCCGAAGCATGCTGGAGTGGATGGACGAGAACATTGTTCGCGAATTTGAAGCGGCGGAAAGTGCAGATGTCACGAACGGGCAAAGGACGGGTGGACAGGAGAAAAGCTCTAGCAAGGGTGGAGGCCCATTCACTTTCAAACATCTCAAGATCATCGAGCGCAAGAAGCGACTTGAGAAGCTCTTGGCAGAACCCGGACCTAAAGTAATTCTTGCATCTGATACATCAATGGACTGGGGCTTCTCAAAGGATGCACTTCGACAAGTGGCCGAAGGACCCAACAATCTGTTGTTGATGACGGAGTCCTTCCGCAAGGATATGCAGACTCAAGAATCGAAACCATCACAAAGTTCGACCACAATTGGAAGCATGATTTGGGAGTGGTATGAGGAACGGAGAGATGGCGTGGCTCTAGAGAAAGGATCGGATGGCGAACATATCGAACAAGTCCACAGCGGTGGACGAGAATTGTGCTGGACAGATGTGCAGCGAGCCCCTCTGGATACCGGGGAGCAGTTAATATACCAGCAATATCTCGCGACCAAGCGCCAACTTCAAGACACCTCTCAAACACTTGGCCAGGAGACCCTTGAAACTGCCGCGGATGCCCTCGATGACGGATCGAGCTCTACCACTTCCGAGGACTCGGATCCTGAACACCAGGGTCGCGCTCTGAACTTTTCGGCCTCACTTGCACACGCTACTCGAAGCAAACTTGCTGTCAGCGACGAAGACCTAGGCATCAACATCCTTCTTCGTCGAAAGAACGTTTATGACTACGATGTGCGTGGAAAGAAGGGCCGCGAGCGTATGTTCCCTTATGTGGCACCGAGAAAGAAGGGAGACGAATATGGAGAATTCATTCGTCCAGAGGAGTATCTCCGGGCCGAAGAACGCGAAGAGATTGATATGCAGCAACGGCGTACCGATGCCGAGACTAAGCTGGGCCAAAAACGACGCTGGGATGATGCCGCCGGCCCCCATGGACGCAAGTTGTCTGGCGGCGCAGCTGGACGGAAACGTCCTCACATTGACGGCAAGATTATTGACGACGATGATCTCAGCCTTGTCTCCGATGGTGAAGATGCCGATGTAGCTGCGGAGTCCGAAGACGAAGTAGAAGGCCAGTCATTCGAAGGTCCTGCGAAGGTTGTTTACAATACTCAGACCATCACTATCAACGCTAGAATTGCGTTTATTGACTTCATGGGCTTGCACGATAAGCGCAGCTTGGAGATGTTAATTCCACTGATCCAACCCCAGAAATTGATCCTGGTTGGAGGCATGAAGGAAGAGACGTCAGCATTGGCAGCTGAATGCCAGAAACTGCTGACAGTCAAGCTGGGCGCTACGGTTTCTGACCCTGCGTTTGACTCGGCTGCCATTATCTTCACTCCCGCGAACGGCGAAGTCATCGATGCAAGTGTCGATACGAATGCCTGGAATGTCAAGCTGAGCAACACGCTCGTTCGACGCTTGAATTGGCAGCACGTCCGCAGCCTCGGTGTCGTTGCTCTCACGGCACAGTTGAGAGGACCAGAGCCTGCCGAAATCGGGGACGTCGAAACATCAGGCAAGAAGGTGAAGCAGCTGAAAGACGAAGCAGCCTCTTCCGCTGTCGCCCCTGCATTAGAACGAGCAGACACCAAAATAATCGACAAGGTGGAAGTCTATCCTTTACTTGACACTCTTCCAGCCAGCATCGCTGCAGGAACCAGGTCTATGGCTCGCCCTCTTCATGTCGGTGACTTGCGATTGGCTGATCTTCGCAAGCTGATGCAATCCGCTGGTCACACTGCCGAGTTCCGAGGCGAGGGAACGCTTCTCATTGACAAGTCGGTGGCTGTGCGCAAGTCGGGAACGGGCAAGATCGAAATCGAAGCAACGGCGCAGTCTTCACTGGGTCGGCCTTCTGGCCGTGGATTAGGGAGCTTCCTTGCTGTCAAAAAGAAAATCTACGAGGGCCTGGCTGTTGTTGCAGGCAGCTAAGGCAATACACGTGACATGTATTTCTATACTTTTCCGGTGTATAACTTCATGATCGACGAAGCATTCATAGCCACTTGTTTCTTCCAAACCCCAAGAGATTTATAATCAAACAAGCTTCTATAGTTCGCGTAAACTATTAGCGCAGGTAGCCTTCCATGGAAAAACAACATTATCGACGCACAAGTTTAACCCGAAACTAACATGACCCATTTCTAAATGCTCAAAACATCAAACAAGCATAGGCATAATCTATATCTAATCCATAACCTGAAAAATGAGACCACAAGTCCTCGTGGCGTAAGAGACGAATCTGTCGTCTAAACAGTGATCTCGCCTGACTCTTCGGAATCATCGCCATCGTCCTCGGTGGGAACTTCTCGTATGATATCATTGGTTTGAGGACCTGTGTACTTCCTGCAGAAAGAAGTTAGGACATGTCAGTATCCACTTGAATATGTTAAAAGTATGGATTAGTTTTAGATGTCTCTTACCCTCGAGCTGCAACCCACCACCATATCAAAGCAAAAGCCGCAATGAAGCCACCGACACAGATGGCGTAGTTCCTGGGTAGGGACATGTTAGCATACTTTTTCATATCTGGACATAAACCGGGTTCAAGCGCCTTACATATTCGCTGGCGTCACAGGAAGCTGTGGTGGGAAGAAAAGAATTGTACTGATGAACAAGACCCAGACAACAGCAATGTAGTTAATAGGAGTACCCCATTTGCCGAGCGTAAAAGGGCCCTCGATGAATTTGACTTTCGATTTATAGAGCTGATGGGCGAGAATGACAGACACATAAGACAGGTCTAGCGCCGGGGCAGTGATGTTGAAGATTGCGGTTGCTGTTTGCGTAGAGCCAATGGCGATGCAGTTCAGACCTACGCTGAAGATAACCACGAACCACACTGCATTGACAGGGGTATGAGTGCGAGAATTGACCTTGGAAAGGAACCTGAAATGTATCAGTGCGGAACTTGAATCGGGTGCGAAGGTCAGAAGAATCCTACTTTGAAAATGGAAGCGCATCGTCTCGGGCAAAGGCATAGGCCATTCTTGTATCTGCCAGCATGGCCGAACAACCTGTGAAGAATTGAACCAAAATGGCAAATGCCCACATGATCGTGCCACCTCGCTTGCCGCCGGCATTTAGGAAGATCTGGGCTGCTGGAAGGCCGGTAGGCGAGGTTAGAATTCCCTCAAAATCGGTGAGACAGAAGCACATTGATACGGTTAGAAGCCATCCAAGTGCTCCGGATACTAGGACGGCTGTTTGGATAGCAACTGGTCCTCGCACGGCGGCATCATGAGTTTCTTCGGACATACTGCAATAAGGTTGGAAGGTCAGAATATAAATTGGTAGAAATGGATTTTTGGGTCGCATACTGTGTCGTCCCATCGTAGTCGGTCATTGTCCAAGCAACAGATAAAAAGCCTAGGAAAAAAGAAAAGACTTTCGAGCCCCATCCTGAGCCATCAGTGAAATGCCCAAAGACCCAGGACGCTGGCTGTAGATTAGGGGTAAGGGTAATCAGCGCAATGCAGATGCAGATAGTCGCCCCAACTGTGAACTCATCAGTATATGGTTAATAATGGAGTTCCCTTGATACACACTGTTTATGGGAGCAAACCACAGAATAATTCGATGCAAGGATTTCGTAGTCAATGAACAAATCGCTCCAAGAATGCATAGGATTGCGATTGATACTAGAACGGTCTCCAGCGCCGTCCTTGAATGATATCAGCTTGGAAGCATATCTAGGTAGCAACTGGGCTGGACGACTTACGGTGCATACGAATACTTGCCATCGACAAGATCCGAATTCATACTGACACAGGCCAGCAACATCTGACTGACCGTGTATGCCACACTAGAGACTCCTGCTGTCTGTCCAAGGAGGTTACACCAACCCTGAATCCAGGAGAAAATAGGGACCTGATCGGGAGGTACGACGTGCTTTGTGACAAAGTACATCCCTCCCGCCGTGGGATATGCCGATACTAACTCTGCCACGGAGCTTCCAATGCACATAGCCATGCATGAACCTATCAACCAGCACCATACAGCTGTTGCTGGGCCGCCAGCTGATAACGGCGCACCAAATGTCGCCGGTACGGAGCCGAGGACTCCCAGAATAGAGATGGCATATGAGACGGTCGACCATTTGGAGAACTCTCGTCGTAGCTCCTAGTGCGAGTAGATCGTTATCAGATTGTGCCCCGCTATGATCGTCGCAAGGCGTTGGGTGTCAATACCTGCTTATAGCCGATGCGAGCCAGCAGCAGCTCATCATCATCGTGAATAGTCGCCATTGTAGGTTGAAGAGGAGTTGGTGTAACTACTCTTTCTCTCCTGGGCTTGCGATCCGGATCTAGTTTTACGGTCAGGCCCATGATAGGGAGTATGTGACCAAGATGCAAGGAGCTTTAGGGGGAGGGCAAAGATAAGGGGGGAAAGGAAAGAGAAATCTCCAGACTCACAGAAGTCTTGTCTATTATATCTACGATGTACGAAAGAGTAGTCGGCTCAGGAACCCGAGCGACGGGAGTCATCAAAGCCGGGAAAGAGACGGTGAGATGAACACGCCAGGAAAAGAAATCCATACCCGAAGGAGCTTGAGCCGGAGCTAGGATGGGCGATCTGATGTGATTGGAGAGAATATGATAAGCGTAAAATTGACCTTCGAAAATGTCGGCCAAGCCTGGCAAAGACGAATTGCTTTGCCTAAAGTGCTGACACGAGGACAAAGCCCTGGAGAGGAGATGGATGACATGTGTGCCAACCATATATGGTATTGGGACCATCAGAGAGTGGGATGGTCTCCGACTAGTCTGTCTCCAACACGGAGTTATGCAGAGGTGACAAATAGCGGGCCATACTACACTTTATTAAGAAAGGGACAGATTGGCAATTTTAAAGTCATTTGAGGATGTCTTCTATGATATTAACATATTAACATTTAAGGAAGAGGAAGAAGAAGAAGAGGACGGAGAGGAAGAAGTACAACTCGTAAACAGTACAACGGGCCCACGTGAAGAGCCTCGGAAGTACGTAAATCCGAGTGGGTTTAGGTGGTCAATCCAGTATATCGTCAACATAAGAGTCTCTTGTTATTCGTTATTTCCTAATTCTGTTCCATACGTGATGATTTGTTGAGAATTTGTCTTTTTTCTCTCCATTTCTCAATCCCACCCCTGTGTGACCTCTCTCGCCTTTCCACACCCCGCGGCATGATCCACCATGGCCGACCCTTCAATGTATAACACAATGGGCCAGGGGTCCAGCGAAGACCCCTCGAATCCGCAATACATGGCTCAGGTTCCACCTCAGCAATACCCAGCTGGGTATCCTCCCGCCGCCGCACCTCTACAACCAGGAGCGCCTTACACCAACCCAGCACCGAATCAGTGGCCCGCCTACGGCTCACCACAACAACCGGGTATGGCGAGTCCCGGCATCGCATACAATGCACCACAACAACCAATGGGCACAGCAGTAGATCCTGGTATGGCAGGACTAGCCTCTCAGATGGGCGGTTTGGGCATTGCAGCAGATGCGGGGGCCAGGACACACCGGAAGAAGCACCGTCATGCTCACCACGACATCGGGGGTGGTGCAGCACCTCCCGCGCAAGGATTTAACACTGGCATGGATCAAGGAGGCTTGCAGCAGCCGCAGCCCCAGCAGCAACAGTCGCAGTTCCTGAACACAGGCTTGAACCAACATGCTGACCGACCAGTTTCCCCGGCGGTGGGGTTGGTATCTGGGCAGTCTGTCGCTGCGATACCTGGTATACAGAGTGGTGCAGGTTCTGTCCCTACTTCAGGCCGAATTGACCCAGAGCATATTCCCAGCATCCCGCGATCGCGCGACCTACCCGCTCAGTACTATTTCAACCATGTCTACCCGACAATGGATCAACACCTCCCCCCACCAGCGGCGATCCCGTTCGTAGCTCAGGACCAAGGCAACTCCTCTCCTAAATACGCTCGTTTAACGCTCAACAACATCCCCTCCGCCTCTGACTTCCTTACCTCGACCGGCTTGCCATTGGGCATGATCCTGCAGCCCCTCGCGCCTCTGGATCCCGGCGAACAACCGATCCCCGTGCTGGACTTCGGGGATGTTGGTCCCCCCGCGATGCCGACGATGCCGAACATATATCAACCCATTTATGTCCTTCCGATCTGGTGGCAGCAAGTTCGTCTGTAATATGTGCACGTTCCCGAACGATACGCCTCCAGAATACTTTGCGCCGCTCGACCCATCCGGTGCGCGTGTGGATCGCATGCAGCGTCCTGAACTGTTGATGGGAACTGTGGAATTTACGGTCCCGAAGGAGTACTGGAACAAAGAGCCTGTGGGCCTTCAAACCCTCTTTTTGATCGATGTCAGCCGGGAGTCGGTCCATCGGGGATTCCTCAAGGGTGTTTGCGCAGGTATCAAGGATGCTCTGTACGGTGATGATGATAGGGCATCAGAGGGCACCGAAGACGATGGATCTTCACGAAAATTACCCGTTGGGGCGAAGGTCGGCATTGTTACGTATGATAAGGAGGTGCACTTCTACAACCTGGCCGTATGTATTCCTCACTCTGCGATGATCTCGTCTATTAACACGTTTATAGGCGGCATTGGATCAGGCACAAATGATGGTTATGACCGATTTAGATGAGCCATTTGTGCCATTGAGCGAAGGTCTCTTTGTGGACCCATATGAATCGAAGTAAGAGATTCCCTATTCCTGGTCTTCTACGGATCACTAACTATGCGTAGGTCTGTGATCACTTCTCTTCTCAGTCGGATACCCAAAATCTTCTCTTCTATCAAAAACCCCGAGTCGGCTTTGCTGCCGACATTGAACTCGGCGCTCTCCGCACTGCAGGCTACAGGTGGCAAGATCGTCTGCGCGGTGGCTAGCTTACCTACGTGCGGTCCTGGACACTTGGCTATCAGAGAAGATCCAAAGGTCCATGGGACGGATGCGGAACGTAAGCTTTTCACCACAGAAAACCCAGCTTGGAAGAAGACGGCAAGCAAGTTGGCTGAAGCTGGCGTCGGCGTGGATCTGTTCATGGCAGCCCCTGGTGGCACATATCTCGATGTGGCAACAATTGGTATGTTGAAAGCGTCATTGCGCCCTGTACAGAGCATCAGCTAACCTAGTTCAAAGGACACGTCTCTAGTCTCACCGGAGGCGAGACCTTCTTTTACCCTAATTTCCATGCCCGCGCGATCTCCTCAAGCTGCGGAAGGAAATCGCTCATGCTGTCACGCGTGAAACGGGATATCAGACCCTGATGAAAGTCCGATGCTCTAATGGACTCCAAGTGTCCGCCTATCACGGAAACTTTGTCCAGCACACACTCGGCGCTGATCTGGAGATTGCCGGTGTTGATGCCGAGAAGGCTGTTGGCGTGCTCTTCAGCTACGACGGTAAACTTGATCCCAAGTTGGATGCGCACTTCCAAGCCGCTTTGCTTTACACTTCCGCAGACGGTCAACGCCGTGTCCGATGTATCAACGTCGTGGCGGCGGTGAATGAAGGGGGCCTGGAGACGATGAAGTTTGTCGACCAGGATGCCGTGGTCTCGGTTATTGCCAAAGAGGGTGAGTCGGATAATCTGTCAGAAGATGTTGACTAAGTATACTGATCCCATTATAGCCGCCTCAAAAACCCTGGATAAGAACCTCAAGGACATCCGAGCCAGTATCTCAGAGAAGACAGTCGATATCTTCAGCGGATACCGCAAGATCTTCTCGGGCTCGCACCCACCCGGTCAGCTAGTGCTACCCGAGAACCTGAAGGAGTTCTCGATGTACATGCTCAGCTTGGTCAAGTCAAGAGCATTCAAGGCTGGCCCCGAGTCATCAGACCGACGGATACATGACATGCGCCTGATTCGGTCAATGGGATGCACGGAAATGGCGTTGTACCTCTACCCTCGCATTATCCCCGTGCACAACATGCAGCCGGAAGATGGGTTCGCGAATGAGCACGGACAGCTCCAAATCCCGCCCACCATGCGAGCGAGCTACTCTCGTATCGAAGATGGTGGTGTCTACATAGTGGATAACGGCCAGGCAATTCTACTCTGGATACACGCGCAGGTCTCGCCCAATTTACTGGAAGACCTATTCGGACCGGGCCAAAACTCCCTCCAGGACCTGAACCCCAACACCTCGTCCCTGCCTGTGCTTGAGACGCACCTGAATGCACAGGTGCGTAATCTGCTGCAGTACTTGTCGACGGTGCGCGGGTCCAAGTCCGTAACGATCCAACTGGCCCGGCAAGGCCTGGACGGGGCGGAATACGAGTTCGCCCGACTCTTGCTGGAGGACCGGAATAACGAGGCCCAGAGCTACGTGGACTGGCTGGTGCACATCCACCGCCAGATTAACTTGGAGTTGGCTGGTCACCGGAAGAAGGAGGAGGGCGGCGAGGGCGCATTGGCTAGTTTGTCGGCCATGCGCACTCCGTATTGGTAGATGCCTGATCCGGGATCCTCCGTCCAACCCCTCCCTTGACAGGCACCGTTTCCTGCTGGTTGGTTCCCCCTGGCGATCTAGACTGCACGTAAGCTGCAAAGAAGGAAAGCGGAGGTGTTATGAATCCAACTCGTCCCACCCAGGCTTGGGAAGGTCCACGGCTAACTCCGATGCTTACTTCAGTGATGGGCAGTGGACCGGCCTGAGCTCAAGTTTGAAGTTAAGAAAACAACAGAATAATTGTGAGACATCGGAGAAATCATTTGTGTATACCAGTAGTTTCTTTTATTATTGAGAGTTCTTTATGTCACAGCACATGGCGATAAATGCCCTAGTCATACATTCCACAGATATTGTCCAAGACCTATTTAAGGTGGTTTTAGTGGGCTTTACTAGTTCAGAACTAGAGATCCCGAATTTACATGCCCTAATCTAGAACCACTTAGGTTACATATGATTATGAAGAGAATTAATACTCCAGACTCCTAACTGTGTACAATGATGTACAATGCAGAACATGATGCCAAAGAGGAATCCAGACTCAGGTACGGCTGTCCAGATCGACGTCAGAGGCGTCTGGTGGAGGTGTTGCTAAATATGTCATTGGGTCAGGGTCTCATTGACACAGGGGTTCCTATTCTCGTACATGTTGTGCATGTTGGACATACAACATAGTATTTTCGTGAGGGCCTGAGCTGTGAGCTGTCAACTCCCACCTACCTAGTAAGGTTAAGTTTGTATAGAAATTATCGAGTATTGGACAGGAGCCACCTGGTCCGGTCGGATTGGTAATTGCAGTAATTGCTGTAATTGCTGTAATAATCTCTAATAATCTGTAGGAGATATTATAATTGGCTCAGTTGGCATTCTTTTAGAGTACGAATATTGTACAATATAGTCTGCTTGGTAATTGCCCTACTTACCATCATTATGATGTTGAAGTACAGCGCACACCTTTCTCTTCGACATTTGCCTCAAACCCCGTTAGACTTTAATTCTAGATTCTAACTTTTCTTTTTCTATTCTCCCATTATTTCCCCCAAATGTAATCCGAAAAATGAGATAGAAGGTTGTGGTGGCTAAACAGCACATCCATAGAACCCAGCTCCAAAACCCCTGTGGTTCCTGGCGAAAATGGGAGCTAAGTGGCTGTACAGCCACGCTGCCGAGCTTCTTCCATGTTCTTTGCCATGGAATTCTGCTGGTTCAAAGATTTTCACCTAAGTCCTCGAATCTGTTTGGAAGAACCACGGATGCAGCCGGATGGCCGTGACGTGGGGTTCGAGGGGTTGTGGGCACTATTGCCACGCCGTCGGTTGTAGCTTTTAGGCGGTTAGTGGGGCAATTTGATGGTAAAGTGTATCGACACGCGATATGTCTCTAAGCGACACGCCCAAACTATCTACATCTACGTATACAGATGTAGAGCATAGCACATGCAATGTATACTGTACGGGTAGCGGTGATGCCCTAACTGGTAGCAATGCAGATGCAGCAAACAGAACAATGTTAAATATAGTATTTATCTTATTTATCTTACATATCTGATATATCGTCTGATTCTACTACAACATACGCGCCCAACTGTTCACCGGTCTGGGCTCTCCAGAAACTGGAGGCGAGACGCGCTTCCGTTCCACTCTTTCCTTTTTTCTGGAATTTCTTCTTTTTTTCTTTTTTCCTTTTTTTCCTTTTTTTTTGCCTTTTCGCCTTTTGCCTTTCAATTGCCCCACAATTTCCTGGAACGATCCATGGTTCGAAGTAGGGGCACGCTTTCTTTTCAGTAACTGGGTCTATCTCGGACTGTATGCATCTCTCATTCCAAAACCTATATAAACCCCTTCGTTACCCCGAAGATTTCTGTTCTTCAACACATTCACTTCAAAGTACATTCCTTCTTTATATTCATTCTCTTCAGTCTCGAGATTGACTCTCGTTGCATTCCTTACATCTGTCGACCAGACTCAATTCATATTCCAACTATATCATTCTCTACATCTTTCTATCTTTCAAGATGATGTTCACCAAGACTCTCGGCCTTGCTGCCCTCTTCTCCACCATCGCCTCGGCCCTTCCCCAGGGCATGCAGGGCATGGTCCGCCGTGACGGCGGCGGTGTCAAGATCACCAACAACCTCGCCCAGGACGTCTACGCCTGGTCCGTGGCCGGCGACGTCGGTCCCATGCAGACCATCAAGGGCGGCGGCGGCGTCTACTCCGAGACCTGGCGCACCAACCCCAACGGCGGTGGTATCTCTATCAAGTTGGCCCTCGACCAGGACCAGCACGATGTCCTCCAGTTCGAGTACACCGAGGCCGGCGACACCATCTTCTGGGACATGTCCTGCATCGACATGGAAGCCGGCAACAACAAGTTCACCGACTTCGGCTTCTCTGTCATCCCCACTGATGAGACCTCCACTTGCCCCCAGGCCATTTGCAAGGCTGGTGACTCCGCTTGCTCCGCCGCTTACCTCAAGCCCACTGATGACCATGCCACCCACGGCTGCCCCATCGACACTGCTCTTGACCTGACTCTTGGTCTGTCCTAAATTTGCTCAGTGATGGCTTGTATTGCCGGTTGAACCGTGCATCCTTTCTTTTATTATACCTTTGAACATATCGCATCTTGTCCTAGCTGGCAGATGATTTTTCTTCCTTTCTTTCATACATTGCCCCAAGTGGTGATGCCTTTTTTAAGATGAGATTGGTGATTTTTTTTTGTTATGCAACATGTTCGGTTGATTCGACATGTCTTCTCCCCATCAACAGCAGGTTGATTCCCGCTGGGGCAGGATGTCTCGTCACGAGCTATGATTTCTTACGGTTTTCGGAAATACCCCCCCCCACACTTGGATTCAATGGGAAAATGGGAGTTATATATACGGTGTGGGAGAGAAATAGATAAGACTTGCGAATAGACAAATGATCATCAGATCTTAGACATACACGAATATACGATCTTTACTTCAAACCCTTTTCAAGTATTACATCAACTTTTCAAGCCACTCGACTATAAAAAAAAAGGAAAAATTAAAAAACTAGTTAAGAGCACCCCAAAAAAAGACCCGAGCAAGACTCGAGCACGAGCAAAGGCATAAACCGGTAGAATCCCCGAAGATGGTCACAAATCATAATCAGTACGAAGCGAATAATAGTGGAACCACAAAGACTTTTCCTAACACACCAAGAACAAGAACAAGTACAATCACGATCTAGAACAAGTGATAGACAGGGCCCTTGACAGACCCAACACGCAAATCTCCCATTCGTAGATCCGGCTCCACACTTCAAGCCCGTTGCACAGAACGTCGATCCTCCGCCAGTCGGATGGGCGGATGGCATTTTAGTGCCCACTGAGGGGTTAAGTGGCTTCAAGATTTTCGATTCGAGATTTCCGCCTGGAAGCCTCGATCTGATTTGCTGGATGTTTTCCCTTTAAAGGATCAAGTCGGATTAATTTGCCTTTGATCAGCGCTTTTAGCTCTTAACACTTCAACGGGTGTTGTCATTACTCAGGTTTTAGTGTGATTCTATCATATTACTTTCGTCATAGGGCTATAGATCCATGTACAACGCACGATGTACACGTGGGGACTCATGGCGCAGGTACGTAGCGATCACAGACAGGTACACAGGTACACAGGTACACAAGTGCCGAGTTATCCATTCACGGTTAGCGAACAATGTCTGTCAGGACTGTTCCTATTGAGAGGCGACATTGGATATCTGGATGAACCACTCGTGATCAACCGTGGGAATTCATTCGGTTAAATGTCTGGGAAGAACTGATGGGGGCGACCCGGCTGAAACCTGGAAAGAAGCTGATTATTAAGGTTATTTCATCCAATGGATGGGGTTATGCTTAAAGTTTTTCCCCCTCTTTTGCCGTTTAGTCGTTCCAAACATCGCCACCTGCCAAGATTAACCGGCTTTCAATCGGCAGGGCTTAATTCTTGGTTGCGCGGTCTAGAACCAGCGTTAAAGGGTGGGGATTTACTCCTGCCATCTCTATTCTCATTGAACAGAACAGTATGTATTTAACATTCGGGGTGAATTTGGTGTTGCCTGTTACAGTAGACCGGGTGCTCTCGGGAAGAACTGTGAGTCACAGGCTTCACCGTCCATTACCAGAGATCAACACGGCAGGTCATATTTGACACGACGTACCGCTTCAGTATTAGTCAACAATGTGTTTCTTTTTACGTTGTACATCGCAGACTTGATGCCGAACGGCTAGTATAATGATCACGTGACCATGTATATGAGTAACCTCCAGCCATGACCTCGGGAACAAGTCAGTGTTGTCTCTGTTCAAACTGGGTGTCCTAGTGTCCACAGTAGGGCATATCACGGAGTTTCTTTGTCATCCATTTTGGAGTAATGGTTGGAAGCCAAGGCGTCTAGGCCTCGAAGTTTGGAGGGCATCAAGACCAAGTAAATTTAGATTTAGGTTCCCCATTGTTGCCAACATTAGGCTAGAATATGATCTTTTATATCTAAAGTTGACCAAAATATGAGTTGAAAGGATATCCATGGTTTATATCCTTGGTATGTCTGATGATAGTCAGAAGTAGCCGAAGTGTTGGCTTTCATATGGAATAGTTAGGGTTTGTGGGCAAAGTGACATAAGATGCGGCATTTGTTTGTGAATTCAGTTAACAAAGGAGAGCTATCAGTATAATGTGAAAAGGACAAGGAATAAAAGAAAGAGAGGGAAAGAGCTATCAACTAGTTGCGGCCTTAATGCCTCAGGCATCAACTATGACCTGAGGCTCCAACAACTCTAGGATAGAAAAAGAGGATGAAGGGAGGGGGAAAAAAGATGACAATTCGAGAACGACCGGAGTCGAACCGGAACAGTCAGGTAGTGGAAGATATTCGGCACTTCCCTCGTGGTACACATGGCGAGGCATGTTACCACTAGGCCACCTGCTGTTGGGTCCCTAGTACTTAGTTTGCTCTTCCTTTTCACTTGCACTTCCCAAAGTTTGTTTGTTC